ATCTGACTGGATGATCTGGTGAACTGGAAAGTGACCTGAGATGACATGATGTGAATTGGAGCTATAGAAATAAACTGAATAGATGAGTTAAAGATAAACTGGCCTCAGCAGCTGTAACTTTGGTGTTATGGTCAACACACTTTGCATTAAGTCTATTTTGTAAGTCTCTTTGGATAAAAGCGTCTGCTAAATGCATAAACATAATGGCGCCAGTTTGGATCGGTTTTTCCTCTGCATCAAGATGCAATAAAAGATCAAAAGTAGAAACAATTAATTGAGAAGCTGAAAAAATTCAGAATACAAAAAAAAAGCATTAAAAGTGAATATAGAAAGTAAAAATGGGAAAGAATAACATCTTACATTCAGAAAAATTAGTTTAAAATAAATATTTAATTTAAAAAAAGGTAAAAATTAAACCAAAATCTGTCAGAAAAATCCTTTAATTTTACAAACTGAAACCTGAAACTCCAGGAAATGATGGAATCAGCAGCAGGGTGTGACCCCCAAGGTGACCCGGATCCCTCACCTCTTCCAGAAAGAAGCTCCGCCCACAACCTGAGATCAAAGGAACCAGAACCTGATGATGAGAAGATAAAGATGCTGGAGAGAAAAAAAATAATTCAAAGAAATAAACAATAAACAGCTGATTTAATCTCTGCTCTGCACCTTCTCTCTGGACTTTGACTAGGCCATTTTCTGCCTTTAAATGAGCCTTTCCTGTCACTGCTCCTCCTCATGAGACATTTAATAAAAAGCTTTCATGTTTTCTTTAAAAAAAAAAAAAAAACAGTTTTTATTTTCAAAGTAAATAAAATCCTGAAAGTTTCCAGAGGAAGAACCGTAAGCTGCTCTACCTGTGGGTCCGGAACTACCGGAACCACCGGGACAGCTGGCACCGGCGGCTCTCACGCGCACAGGGCGCGCGCGCTCCGCCATGCACGCGCCTGCGCTCGGCCCCGCGCTGCAGGTAGTAACTCCGCCCCCTCCGTTAAACACAATGCCGCCGCTCCGAGCCCCTCCGGCTCCGTTCCGTCCCGTCCGGGTCCAGACTCCGCGGTCCAGTTCCGGAGGCCTCCAGATCCGGACCCACTGAAGGTTTTTCCTCCTCCGACCGAAGGTGAGCTGCTCCGCCGAACCTCGGGGTTCTGGTTCCGGCCGTGTCCGCTGCTGGACCTCGCTGCTCCGCAGTCGGTTCCGGTTCTCCGGGTCAGGCCTGCGGTGCGGTCCGGCTCCGCTCCGGGCTCTTTGTTCCCGGGAAGTTTGCTGGAAGTGACGTCATGGTTCCGCTCCGGACTCCGGCTGGAAAACTGCGGATTTAACGCTTCGGTTCTGCCGGTTCTGCTCAGCCTGGGTTCTGGTCTCTGTGGGGTCCAGTGGGGGTCCCCGTGGGTTCGTGGGTGTTGAACTGTGGATGAGGAGAAGCGGTTCTGATTCGGATGTGGTTTTGGTTCCGTTCTTACCTGAACAAAGATCCAGATCCAGGTCCAGCGGTCCGGATCCGGTTCCGGTTTATTTGCTCCATCAGAACCTTCAGAACTTTGATAAAAGTTATTTGAACAGAAAGTGATCAGAACCCGGAGCTCTACCGAACCGGCGGGTCAGAACTTCCATTAGAACCGTTCAGAACCCTGATGACCCAAAACCGCTGCAGTGGTGCTGAAGTCCCGGTTCTGGATGATCCGGATTAATAAAACTGAATTTTATCTAAAAAGTCTGAAAAGAACTTAGAACTGGATCAGGTGGTTCTGCATTGAAGTCTGTTTACACTGAAACCAGGAGGCGGTTCTGATCCAAAACAAACGTCTGGAACTGGATCCAGGATCCCCGACCCAGTTCATTAGAACTGGAAACCAGAACCTTCAGAACCACAGATTTTTTAAACTTTGTTCTGATTGGCCCGCTGCGCTCGCCTCAGATTAGTGGGTTTGGTTCTGTTCGACCCGACATGGTTCTGTAGAATAAGAACCAAACAGAACCTCCATGTTCTGTAGAGGTTCTGGAAGATGCAGCCCATGGCACCGATGGAACAGAACCGCCAACATGGCTGCCAGCTCAAAACGGCTCCTTGTTTTGGATCAGAACCATTCTGTTGTTCTAAGGCTAGCAGGAACCATGACAGCGCCTCCACCGTGCTTTACCATCAGAACCAAACGTTCTGTGTTCTTTCACCCGTTGCTCCATCAGAACCTTTCCCTCCGAGGTGGGCCGGGTCTTTGAGTCCAGAGAAACCAAAGGGATGGATCAGAGGTTCTGGTCGTGGAGGTGAAAGAATGTGGGGGTCAGAATCGGACCTGGCTGTTCCACCTGCCATCCGGGTCAGCACCGGTTTCTGCTCGGTTCTGTTAACCAAGCAGAACTGGACCCCTTGGTTCCTGATCTCAGAGGAGGGGGAAGAAGCTGCTCCTCTTCCTCCTCCTGTCTTGATGAAAGGTTCTGTAGAATCGGAACCGAACCTTCACCGTTTGCGGGTCGGCTAGCTGCTGGTGGTGAAACCAGAACCGTGGATCCGGCTAATTCTGTCACAGTAGGATTTCTCTGCCTGAAGCAGAACTAATGGTACCAGTCATGGTTCTGGTCTCTGGGTGAAAAATGTTCTGATTCTAACTGGTCAGAACCAGTCTGGGTCCAGTTGGTTCTGCAGAACCCGGAGCATAAAGGTAGAACCTCTCCAGTCTTCCTGCTCTCTGTTTGCTGCAGATCTATGAGCTTCAGCCATGTTGAGGTCCAGGTTCTGATGGACCAGAACCAGAACCAAAAACCAAGTTCTTAGTTACTGATAGGTCCCTCATGACCTTTAGTCCCAGCCATGACACGGCCTCCACCGTGCTTCTTGACCTCCTGGGTATAAACCACTGACCTCTAATTATTCACTGGATTCCTGATTGGCTGAAAAAAGCCGCTGTCCGCCATATTGGTACTCCCCACTCCCGTGCAGTAAAATGCCTCCCTGTTCAGCATCTGGCTGCTAAAACCAGCAGTTTTCTGTCTGCAGGAAGACGTTCCACTGGTAATTTCCCAGTCAGTGGATGAACTAAGCAATAAATCCATCTATAGCGATGGATTCTATAGTTTAGTCTGCAGACTAACATTAGTCTCAGACTAACATTAGTCTCAGACTGACTGGAAGACATTGACTGAGTTAGATACTGACATTGGGTCTAACGTTAGAAAATAGAAAGTAATTCACTGTGAAATGTAAAAGTAGTAAATCTTTATTCAGTGGATGATGATGTCATTTTTAGACCGTTTGGTTTAGTTCTCATTTGCAAAAAGTCATGAAATATATTTTAGGTTATATTAATGGAAAAAAAAGCAACTCAACCTTTTTTCTTCTTTCTTTAGGAGGAAAAAGGGTAAAAAAGGAAAACTCAAACATTTTTAAAGGCTAATGCACAGACAGCATAAATTATATGGATTCATTGATGCATAATTTAAAAATAGGAAAATAGAATTAACAGACATGGACTTCTATGTATAATGTAATTACTATATCAATGTAATAAATTTCTATGTCTATTACATGAACATCATCAATTTAGCACTAATGGCTCATCTGTATTATTCTGCTCCATTAATACATTAATGTTATTGTGATGGATTTATATAATATATGATGGGCTTATTTTTATTATTTTAAGTTAAAGTTAATCTACTGATGCTATGAAACAGCCAGTCTGTGTCAAAGTGATGAATTTATTTTTATTTTAAAAGTCTTCAGTCCCTGAAAATGAGAACATCAAGGTTGTTTGATGCTGTAGCGCACAGATTGTTCACACTGAGACTGGTCTAACTAGGGAGTACCAATATGGCGGCTGGTGGCTTCACTTAAACCCTGTACTACCAATGAGCAATCAGCAATCCAGGGAATAGATAGAGATCGGTGAGATAAACCCATCACAGCGGAACCAGACTGGTTCTGAGCAGCAGAAACTTCCTGGTGGAGGTGTGGTCTGAGCCAACCAATCAGCTTAGAGCTTTCCCTGACTGAGATATTGGCTGAGCTGAAATCCATCGGAAGTGTCGTCCGAAGGCCCATGTTGGCCGATTACATCATAGCACGGCGCCGAGGCCTGTTCGGATTGGAAGATTCCTCGTTATGCGGCCGATAAAAGCATCCATCTTTTTGCCCGGTTGGAGGGAAGGGTCCGCTGTATCCTACGTAGCATTGGGTATCCCATGATGCATTGGGAGTGGAATTAAACCGGCTGACATTTAGGCTCCAATATCTATGCAATGTGGGGATAATAATCTGATATTAGCTGCGTAACGCCGTCATTAGACAGAACTGTAGAAAGGAGCTCCGGATCTGTTCTCTGCCTGCTTTGTGAGTCAGCTGTCGCGGTTGCTAGGCGACAGAGCGTACGCTGAGGGAGGGGCGGAACCAGCAGGTAAACCGGGTCCTTGGATCTGTTGGAGGGCTGCTGAAAATATGGATCAGAACCTTGGTTCTGGTCTTCCAATGATCTTAGGTCCGGTGTCCTTATCGCCATGGCGCCGGGTCACATGTTGGCGATCGGATCTGTGTGGTACCGATAGAGCCCGCTAAACGAGCCGGGTCATCAGAACCATCACGGATGGAAGCAGAGAGAGCAGCCCTGATTCAGAACCTCTAATGACAGAACCTGTTGGGTTCAGGAGGTTCTGCTGAACCTCTGAGGTTCTGGACCTGTAGGTCCACAGAACTTTGGATCCTCCCAGAACCAGCTGGCAGCTGCTCTGTGTGGTTCTGATCAACAGAACCTCTGGTATCAGATGATGTCTGCTGGTTGGGTTCTGTTCTGACCCAATCATGAAGTTTTGTTTGGACCTCAGCAGAACCTCCAGTAGAACGGGCTCAGCTGCTCTGTGATTGGCTCACGCTGATGGACTTGGTACCGCCCCGGTTCTCACATGGACCTGAGCTGCTGCTGCTCCAGAACCTCCGAACCAAAACAGAACTTATTGGACCTGGACTGGAACCAAACTGGTCTTCGTGAGCGTTCATTTGAGATGCTGTGATCCGGGTCCAATCGGGTCAATCCGGACTGACCTCCTGTTCCAGTCGCCTCCGGAGTCCAGGCCCGTCGGGTCCTCCAGTTCCTGGTGGAGTAAACAAGCGCTCCCTGGAGGACCTTTGGTTCTGTAATCCTCCTAGATCCGTTTACTGAGATTCTGAAAGCGCTGATGGGCCTTAACCAGAACCTGAGGAACCCGGTTCTGAAACGTCTGCTCCACAGTCGGAACCTTCCATTTAGGCAGAACCGTCCCGCTGGTTCTGGTTTTAGTGACTTAAGGAAGGATTTTCTGATCTGGGTGTTTTTAATCAGGTTCTAATTCACATAGATCTAGAGTTCTGTTCAAATAGAGCCTGGTTCTGCTGGAGGTTTCTTCCTGTTCAAAGGGAGTTTTTCCTCTCCACTGTCGCTACAAGCATGCTTAGTGTGAGGGATTGCTGAAGAGTCAATGAGTCGATGCAATCAGCTGGTTTTCCTTAGATAGAAAACTTTGAATCAATCTGACTGGATGATCTGGTTGATCTGGATCTATAAAGTGACCTGAGATGACATGATGTGAACTGGAGCTATAGAAATAAACTGCATAGAATTGAATAGATGCAGAACTGACCCGACCCGGTCGGAGAAGCTGGACCAGAACCTCAGAGTGCTGCAGCAGGCCCAGGCAGCGCCTGCAGTGACGAAGCGTCTGAACCAAGCTGGAATTATCCAGTCATTACTGGTCCTGCTGGTTCCCAGTAATGGCGGGTTATCGGATCAGAACCGCCTCCTCTGTCATTACTGGGATCAGCGCTCTTTGTTCTGCTGCGTTCAGGAACGCCTCGGCCTCTAATTAAACTCAATCTGCCGTCTGAGTCTTGTTTTTAGGTGGCAATAATAAAAAGGTTCTGATCCGGTCTGTCTGGTACCGAGTCCCAGAATGATGTCCAGGGATCATGGTTCTGGGGTTCTGACCCGGATGGATCCAAACTCGCTTTGGTTCCTCTGGAAGCTCAAAACTTTCTGTTCTTCTCCTGCAGGTCCGCCCCGATCCGATCGGCCCCCGCTGACCTCTGACCTCTGAGACATGACGGTGAGGTCCGATCCCGTCGGAACCGCCTGCTGAGTTCCAGAGTTCTGGTCCGGTTCTGTCTGAAGCAGAGGAGCAGAAGTTAAAGAAGCTGTTTGGAGGATTTTATCGGGTCGGTTCTGGTTCCTCTTTCCCACTGGCTCTGCTGGCGTTTGGGTCCTCGGTTCAGGAGGAGATGGATCGCCGGGTCGGAGCGACAGGAAGTTGATCCGCAGCCAGAATGTCGTGGAAGAGGAACTACTTTGCGTCGGGCGGAGCGACGCCGGGGATGGTGACGCCTCGCCGCGTGGCGTCCATCGCTCCCAGCAAAGGCCTGAGCAACGAACCGGGTCAGAACAGCTGCTTCCTGAACAGCGCCCTGCAGGTACCGCAGCACACCCAGCAGAACCAGAACCGGGTCGGTCCAAAACACCTGATCCTGGTTCTGATTTAGTTCCTCTGATCTGTCATGGTGCCTTAAAGTATTCACACCCTGGCAGGTCCAGACGGTTCTGACAGGCAGTGGGTCGAACATCTCTAGACAGAGTCTCTGAATTTAAACATCTAGAATCATTTTTCTACGTTTTATTTCTATAAAAAATGTTTTTGGTTTAAATTAATTTAAAAGTTTCTTAATAATCATGAAAAACCTGGAAGGCCTCTGAACCATCACCCTAATCTGCAGCTGTCAGCATCAGAACCGGGTCAGAACCGGACCGGACCACTCCAGAACATTGAACATTCCTCAGCCTGTCCGGGTGTGAATACTTTCGGCCGCCAGCATCTTCCTGATCGGATCAAACCGGTCCTGACCGGTTTCCATGGAGACGATAAAGGAGAGGAAACCCGGTTCGGTTCTGTTTAACGATCAAAGTGGTTCTGGAGGAACCACCGGGTCCATAGAGCAGCGGTTCTGGTTGGTCGTTCACCACCGGGGTCCAAAAGGTCCGAGTCATCAGAACCGGATGTTCTGTCTGGTCTTTTGGACCGGTTCTGGTTTAATGACGGATGAGGAGCAGAACCGCTGAGACGGAAATGTTTTCTAAATGGTTCTGGGCCCCAGATGTCCGACCCGGTTCTGGTTCTAGCAGAACTTAGCCTCTATGTCCCTGCAGCAGCCTGAAGGTCGTCTCCGTCTGAACATTAAGGTCAGATTCAGAACCAAGCTGACGGAACTGGACCCGTCAGAACAGAACCATTCAGAGCCGAGCCTTCGGACCAGAATGATGAGTTCTGCTCCTTCTGGACCAGAACCAGCCTGAGCAGAACTGCCACCAGACGTGGAGCTGGATCGGTTCCACTGAGAGGTTCTGCTGCTGGCAGAACGGGCCGGACGCTAAGAGCAGGCGTCCTGTGGATCAGAACAGACGGCCCGGTTCCAGAACACAGCGACATATTGGCGCCGGCGGGGGGGCAGGAAGGAGCGGGCCTCGGCGCTGACCCAGCAGATCCTGTTAGCAGCATCAACGCGGTTCTGTCTCTGCTCGGCCCGGCTGCGGTTCTGTTTGCTGTCAGGAGGAACTGGGATCAGCCGACCCGGTTCTTCTGACATCCCAGCAGAACCGGGACAGAATTTCTGACCCGTTTCATCCCGACTGAAGATCCAGTTCAGGGAAAACATTCAGAACCAAAATAACTGTTTTTCAGCTCACTGACCGACCCGGTGGGCTGATCCGGTTCTTTCAGAACCACATTCCTGATTCGTTTATCACTGAGCCGATCAGAGGTTCTATGTGGTCCGATCGGTTCTGATGGTTTGAATCTCCGTGGATCGGAATTGGAATCGGACCCATCTGTCTTCATACTGACATCCAGATGTTCTGGTTCCATCGGAGGAAAAGTTTTTGGGTTTTTCCTTCCAGCAGAACCAAAGGTCCGTTAGGTTAGTCCTTCAGTGGTTCTGACCGTATCTATTGACGATGCTGGTTGCCATGACGGCACCAGTCTCAGATCAGAATTCTGGGTCTGATAAAAACCCTGAGATAAAATACAGCCCAGAACCCTGCAGCGGTTCTGATCCAGACCCGGTTCTGCTGTATTAACACTGTGGATGTAAAGGAGACCCATTACTGACCTGGTGGTGGAAATGGAGACAGCAGAGCTTAAAACCATCCAGCAGCCAATCAGAAATCCTCATCAGAGGGACCAGAAGCTGTCGGACGGCGGCACCTATGGAGCTACAGCAGCGACCGCTTTAACTGACGTCGAATGACGAGATTAAACTATAAAAATTCAAACGCTGAAAATTCTCTTCAAAAAAACTAAAATCTGATCATATTTTCATCTTCAGCTGCAGCATTTTTCAGTGAGATGATAACAGCGTCACTGCAGACTTCCTGCAGCTATGATGTCACTACAAGCTGGAGCTGTTCTTCCCAAAAAAGTTAAAATCAATCCACTGGACTTTGTTTCCAAGTTTGAAGACGTTTCT